GGCCCGGCCCGCCGCCGGCTCGAGCGCCCCTCGCCCCGCCGCTGGGCCCCTCTGCCCCCGCACCGCGCGGCCCCGAGCAGGGGCGCACGCCACCGAGCGCCGCTTGGACGAGCGGGCGGAGGGCGGACTCCTCCTCTCGTCCTCCTCCTCCTCCTCCTCCTCCTCCTCCTCCTCCTCCTCCTCCTCCTCCCGTCCTCCCCTTCCCTCCTCCTCTCCTCCTCCTCCTCCTCCTCCGTCCTCCCTCCCTCCTCCTCCTCCTCCCGTCCTCCCTCTCGCCTCCTCCTCCTCCTCCTTCCTCCCTGCTCCCCTGCCTTCATGTTCCTCCTCGCTCCCGCCGCTCCCTCCGACGGCGGGCGTGGGCCTCGCGTGGCCAGAGCTCTTTTGGTCGGGAGCCTGCAGATTCCCTGCTGCTCCTCCTCCATCTCCTCCTCCTCCATCTCCTCCTCCATCTTTTTCTGCTCCTCATCGTCGTTGTCTTCTTCTTCTTCTTTTGCTCCTCCTCCTCCTTTTCCGCCTCCTCCTTTTCCGCCTCCTCCTTTTCCTCCTCCTCCTCCTCCTCCAGCGCCTGGGGGCCCTCCGAGGGCAGTCTTTCTTGGTCGTGGCGGCAGCCTTGCCTGGGGTTGCATCCTTTCGCGCATCTCAGTTGTTCCCTTCACGCACCCAGGATCCCGAAGAAGCCGCCCACCAAGGTCGGGGGGTGCAGCTGCCAGGGAAGCAGCTCGTAATAGAGATCATGGACGCGATTGGCGCCAACATAGCGTCAGCAGCATACGACGAGATGGCAGCCAGGCGTGGGGAGGAACTTCAGCGCTTGGTTATATCCACGTCCGAGGCCACCCTTGAACGAGAGCTACGACAGTTGTTCGCGAACGCAATGGACCAGATGGACAATAACACAAGGTCCTCTCCAATGTGGCAGTGGAGCAAACGAGAGCAGTGCGAGGGAGGCATCGAAAGGTACGGGGTTCACCCTGAAGGTCGCGCTGCAGAAAAGAGGTTGGTCAGTTCCCATAGCACACGAGCCGAAGAAGAAGGGAGACAACTTCTGCAAGAGCACCGTGGCTGTGCACGACCCGCGCATGGCAAGCAAGTGGTGGTCAGCACTGTCGGGCCACATGCATAATATCCCGATGTTGGTCATTGGCGAAGGCGAGGCCGACCACCATGTACGCTAGCACAGCGATCCAGGCGCCATTCCTCAGGATTGGAGCCGGTGGCGGCAAACCAAGCAAGGTCTTTTTGAAGGGCGCCTTCTTCCTGTTCGGCGAGGGCGGAATCAATTGCCAGTTCAAGAGTACTACCGCCCAGGCGCTGGAGGAGAACAAGTTGGCGGCATGATTGCGCATTGCGATCTTCGAGACAGTTGCGACGCGTGCCGGTTCTGACATTAGCCAGCTGTTCGACGCCCAGTTCTCAGGTGCAGCCCCTGTCCTCGGCCACCGTGGCGCTGCGGGCATGCTGGGAAGCGAAAGAGATATCGCTCAGGCATTCGAGGAACGCGTTGGATGGCACCCGGCGCCGCCGAGCCAGAGGTGGCATCGCTTGAGGCGCCAATGCGCTTGATCAGACCCGGCTCCCTGGCAACGACTACTCCGACAAGAGGTGGGCGCGCGCTGCCAGGCGTTTTCGCAGTGGCAAAATGAGAAGTGCTGGATTATATGCCATGCTATCAGGATTCAAAGGCATCGCGCTGACCAGCCCCTACGTCGGAAGCCCCGAGCAGGCGGAGAAGGACGCGAACGAAACATTCGTGGTTTGGTTGCCAAGGCCGACGAGATCGCGAGGAAGTGGGGCGGCCACCGGCGGGCCATGAGGAGCGATGCGAGGTCCGCAGGCGTGCGCGTGGCCCGCGCCGCCCTCCGGGCAAAGGGGGTGACCGTTGAGGTGGGGGGCTATGCGGCGTGCTTGGCCAGACAGAGATCGCGCGCCGATCGTATTCCAGCTGGCATGGCCTCGAGCGGTCAGATCCAGGTATTGGCGGATAAATTGCGCTGGAACTGCGATTGCGTGATCGTCGCGTGCGAGAGTTCTGAGAGCAGCCGCTGCGCCGTCGCGAAGGCAGATGCGCCGCCTCAAGGTGCGCGCTGGCGGGTGGGGGTCTGCATCCAGCCCTGGGTCGTCGCGGCGCTGTCGGGCGAGCCCAAGGCGCGCGCAGGGGGGGCCGCGCCCGCGATCGTCTTGGCTGAGGAGCTAGGCGAGGCGAAGGAGAAGAGCATCGCGGCAACGAGGACTTTGCCGAGAGGACCAAAGTCGGCAGCAATAGGCAAGACGGCGACGACGAGTGCACCAGCGTGGCTCACGCACCTGCGCCCTGAAGGGGCCACAGTTGCATGTGCGGCAGGCAGCGCGGAAGGGGGCTTGACAGCGGCGCGTCGGCGCTGACGAGATGGCGGCGGGCGCAGGCCCAGGTGGCTGGTGCGCCCCCCCTGGCAGCCGGCGACCGCGCGGGCAACTTGGGGCGCGACCTGGCCGGGCCCCAGATCCAGGTGCAGACCCAGAGCCAGAAGACCAAGGCGCATAATGCAAACGACTAGGATGCCAGCGACAGGCTCCATGCCCTCGGCGAGATGGTCGACGCGCAGAGCGCGAACGTCGCGACGCCCGTGACCAGGCTCGACGGGCTCAGGGGGCTGCAGTTAGGCATCGACGCAATCGTGAAAAGGCTGGGCGCGCTGTCAGGCGAGTGGGGAGGCAGCGGCGCGTCGACGCAGGAGACCCCGGTGACCGAGGGCGACGCCTGGGGGCGCCCAAGGGAGGAGTGTCCGACCTTGCGTTGGGAAGTAAAGTCGGAAGACAGGTTGCAACAGGAGTGATTGTACATGGGTGGGAATTCATGCCGCGAGATGGATGCTGACCGTTGACGAGTCGGAACGCGAGGCGCCGCAGTTTTGCGGGCGCGCCCATCTCATGCTTAAGCAATCCAGGTTTTCTGATGGTTCTATGGGCGAGCGGGGTGGTCTAGCTGACGGCGCGGGCTTTCGTGGGCATCATTTGTTTCGACTCTTTCCGGCCGATCGCGGTCGAGCTCCGGCCGCAGTGCGCGAGCGCGGCCGCTGGAGGAGGGGGGGGGCGTTCTGGGCGGAAATTTTCACATGCATTAGTCGCCGAGCCTTGCCGATGGGTGTGGCGCATTGATTGGAAAATGGTGCGACAGAGAGTGTTATGGCTGCCGGGCGACTGCCCTTGCGACGTGCTACGCCAGGGCCGCGACGACGGCGAAGAACACGAGGCCAAACGTGCCGATGCCATCGACGCCGACCGCTCCTACGTGGTTGGCTGGAGGCAGACGGTTGTGAATCTTCATGTTGCGCGTGCTATCGCCGTTTGTATATTCGCTGACAAGAGGACTGCGTCGAGCTCGCCGCTCGACTGGGCGCGGGGGCGGCCCGGCAGACCGGGGGCCAGGCCGTGGTCTTCCCCGAACATCGCGGCGTTGAGCTCGCGCTGGGGACCTCCGGAGGAGCCCGCGGGCGCGACGTCCAGGTGTCTTTGCTCCAAGAGACGCGGCGCGCCATTGCGCGGATTCTTTGCTATGGTCGTGGGCTGCGCGCGCTTGGGTGGCAAGTGGCGCGGGGCTTCGGCCTTCCGCCGAATGAGTTCACGAAGGCGGCGTCGCGCGGCGAGCGCGACCATGTCGTCTGCAGCCATGCGGCGGAATGTGATTGAGTCGGTATCTGGTACCAGCCGTTTCCCTGGCGGCCGCCGAGTCCAGCGGCGGCCGCGCCGAGGCCTCCGGCGAAGCCGAGGCCCTATGCGACGCCCATGGGTGGGCGGAGGCGTGCGTGCCCACCCCAGGTGGCGCTCGCTGCTTTGTGGCAGCGCGACATGGCAAAAGCGGGGGCGAGCTCGCTCTCCAAGCTCCAGAGGCGTGAGGAGTGGCCCCTTGCTTTCTTTGCATGGGCGCCCACGCGCAGTCGATGAAATTGCCGGCGTTGGAATGGGCGCTGCGATCGTGAGCTAGAATGGCATGGCGCTGCGTCGAGATCTCGAGATGAGCTCGGCGTGACGTGCGGACGAAGACAATGATTGGGGCAGGCTCGCGCCAAGGCTCGACGCGACGCATGTCGGCTGTGTATTTTGCAGCGCTACTGGGCTCCAGGAGATTGGTGAGCTCTGGCTGCTGCGGGGGCCGCCGTTCCCAACGTTCCCCATTTGACATGGCCCAGGGCCTGCTGGCGTTCGAGACGGGTTCGCAGGTGGACGAGGCCAGTGTCGCATTTAGTCCAGGATGGACTCTTATCCCGCAGAGGAACCCACGGTTGCGCGTGCTTGCGTCGTCGCGAAGCACGAGCAGGAGTTAGCATCGCAAGCAAGAGCTGGCGTGGACGTCGACGAGCACTCCTGGGCGGGGAGTCGCATCGCCGAGGACTTCCTCGATCGCATCTGCCGGGATATCTCGGGTCGCGCAGGGCGGGGGGAAAGCCGCGCCTCAAGCTGCAGCGCGTGGGGCGCAGGCGCGTGGAATATGGGCCCCCCTCAAACTGCGCGAGCGCGTCGGCGAGGCGGGGTGCCCGGGGCCGCGTTGGACACCGAGCTGCACGGGGGGTAGCCGACAATGGCGCTGGCTCTGTAACGACATCCGACATCGAGAAGGCCCAGCCCGCCTGCAGTGCTGGGGGCGGGCCGGCAGAGTCCACTGCTGCCGCGCGGGTGCGAGATTCTTCATTTCCAAGCGGATGTTGCAGGGGGGTCTTGATTTCTAGCGGAAGCACGCGGCTAAGCAGCGCGTGGAGCAATGGGTCGAAAGGGTCAGACAACGCGCGCTCCATGGGGGCAGCGTCGCGAGTGCTTGGGTCGCACTTCCGCGACAAGCGCCGACGACGCATCCCGGGGGTCCGCGATGGAACGGGCTCGCGTCGGACCCGTCCATGGTCCATCGCTTGCTGCGGGTGGAATCCGATCCGATATTCGTAGGGTGGTGCAGCTCGGGCGAGAAACCTGCCTGGCAGGACGTCAGATCTTGATGCGAACGAGAGCTGCCGCCCCATTGCCCGCCCGAGATGCCCGACTTGACCGATGAGGGCGCCGCCGGGGTCAACGAGAGGAGAGTGCGGCGCAGAGCTGGAGCGCTTGGCGGGCGGATGTCGCAGGGCGCCAGAGTGTTGCCCCCTTGTGACGTGGCGGTTGCAGACGGGCTAAGATGGGCGTTGCTTCTGACCGCCGTGCCCGTCCTCACCAAGGTTGGATTAGTGCGGTGGAAGCCAATCGCAACATGCAGGGAATTGAGGTCGGTGGTCAGAACGTCGACGTAGTCGAGATTATCGAGCTGGTCGGAGGCAACGTTGTGCCGATTTGGATGCAGACTTTCCGACTTTGGGGGTGTCGCGGTTGGCGATGACCGCGGTTGGCGATGACCCAGGGGTTGCCATTGGGAATTGCTGAGAAGGGCGGGCGAGGGCGATCGCCCGCGGCAGCTATGTTAGCGATTGGACTTAGCCTTGCCATGCCGCCGCCGAAGACGATGAACATGTTCTGACGGGCCGCTTTCGCAGCCATATGCTCGAAGGGAAACTGGTTGTTATGTTGCCGGGCCCCCCTCCGCATCGGCATCCTCGGGCTCGCCGTGGGGCCGCTCGCGGTTGGGCGCGAGGAGGTCTTCCGAGCACTGTTGCGACTCCGGAACGACCTGGGCCACAGCGTGAGACGTTGGCGGACTTGATCTGGCAGTGGGCCGGGCCGCGTATCATGCGCAGGGAATGGCGCCCGCCTGGAGTGGATCGTGCGCCTGGAGAGCCACTACCGCCGGCTGCGCATGTCCCAGAGGAGGTGGCTTCAGAAGCAGGTCCCCCGCGCGAGGAACGACGTGGGCATGCCCGCCGCGTGCCCGCCCAGCCCGGGCGCCCCCGACAACGCCTGGCTGCTGCGCGCGAAGCGGCAGCGTGTCAGGCTGGGCGAAACAGCGAGGTCACGTCGACCACCCCTTGCGCACCCCCTTATGGTGTCGAGAAGATGCCATGCTTGCTCTGCCATGGACGACCGTCGCGGGTAGCGGCCGCGGTGAGAGACCACCCCGTGCGCACCCTCTGTGGTGTCGAGACTCTGCCATGCTGCTGTGCCATGGACGACCGTCACGGATAGCGGCCGCGGTGAGAGACCACCCCCTGCGCACCACCTGTGGTGTCGAGAAAATGCCATGCTTGCTGTGCCATGGACGACCGTCACGGATAGCGGCCGCGGTGAGAGACCACCCCGTGCGCACCCTTGTGGTGTCGAGAATATGCCATGCTTGTTGAGCCGTGGACGACCGTCACGGATAGCGGCCGCGGTGAGAGACCCCCCCTGCGCACCCCCTATGGTGTCGAGAATAACATATGCCATGCCTGCTGTGCCATGGACGACCGTCACGGATAGCGGCCGCGGTGAGAGACCACCCCTTGCGCATCCCCTTATGGTGCTGTGTGTCAATGTGCTGTGTGTTGTGTTCTGCTGTGCAATGCTGAGCTGAGCTATGTTATGCTGCGGTGCGCTTCGCTGTGCTGCGCTGTGTTGTGTGAGAATGAAAAGGAGGGGGAGGTGTGTATGTGTGTGTGTGGCGGAGACGCGGGTGCGACGCGGTAGGGATGAAAACCAGAACTGTGCTGTGCTGTGTTGTGCTGAGCTGTGCTGTGCTGTGCTGTGCTGTGCTGCGCTGCGCTGCACTGTGCTGTGCTGTGCTGTGTGAGAAGGAAAAGGAGGAGGGGTGAGGAGACGCAGGTGCTTGGCGGGAAGGAAGAAGACCAACACCCCACTAAGCATGTGGGGAAAACCAAGACGGTGGACGATGAACAACTTTCGGTGGTGCAGGATTCGCTGAACAGGGGTGCCGCTGCTGCTGCCACTGCCGCGTTCAATAGGCATGATCTTTCCCTCTGCCGTCCGCCTTGAAGTAAAGCAACGAACGATGCTAGCCGTTTTGGGGCAAGCAGGGGAATAGTTCAATTTTGAAGCACACTCCCAGTGTTAGGACAGTTCCTTTGTAGCCTCCGATCTGCTTGAAAGCGGGCCCAAGCGGGCCCATGCCGGGGGGATGGATCAAAGCAGGAACCCTTGCCGACGGGGACCTGCTCAACGATATCCTTGAGTCTGAGTTGATAGAGGCGGCCGCCTACGACGACGACGATGCCTCCCAGGGTACGTACATACTTCAGGTACTTCACGGAGACTACGCTCCAGAAGGCGGCGTGCTTCTCACAGCGCGCTACCTTGCAGCGAAAGACGACTATTATAATTATTGGATGCGGTTTGGAGGCCGCCCAATAAAAGACGTCTACCCCGTGTGCGCAGCTGCTGGGTGCAGGGGGGGCCAAAAGGACAAATCCATATAGAGTCCTGGAGGCCACTCGGCCGCGAGGACATCGAGGAGGGCAGGCTCGCCTGGGCGGCGAAGCCAGGACTCCAGAAACGGATTCTGGAGGCCCTGCGCGAGGGGGCTGAGCCAGGGGGAGAGCGGTGCCGAACGCCGCGGCGGCGAGGCGACGCCGCTGGCCGACGGGGAGCGCCCCCCTGGCCGGTCGCCGAGTGGCCGCCCAGCGGCGGAGCCACGAGCGGAGGCTCTGGGCGAGCCTCCGCCTGCGGGGCGCGGGGCCCCCGACGGCGCGTTGTGGGCTGGCGCCCGCAGCGTGCGACCCCGGCGTGGGGTCGGGGAAGAGCTAGAGGAGCTCCGCGCTGGCCTGGAGGAAGGCAACAACCGCCACGGCCTGGACAGGCCAGACCGCGCCCGCGGGCACAGGAGCAGGTCGCCGCGGGGCCGCGCGCGGGGGGGGCGCCAGGAGGGCGCCCCGGGCGGACGGAGCCCTTCCCCTCGGGGGAGCAGGGGCCCGCCGGGGCGTCGCCGCGATGTGGCCCCCGCTGCCGGCGCCGGCGCGCTGGCGCCGAGCGGTGCCTGTGGCGGCCGCAGCCCGCGCCGCAGGGGCAGCCCGCAGTTCGCCGCTAGCCCCCGCCGCAGGGAGCCGCGCAGCCCGCGCCGCCGCGAGGCGCCGAGCCCGCGCCGCGGAGAGCGGCGCAGCCCGCCCCGCCGTGAGGCAGCGAGTCCGCGGCGCGGGGGAGAGCCCAGCCCGCGCCGCCGCGAAGCGGCGAGCCCGCGCGGCCGGGAACAGGGCGCAAGGGAGCGGTCAGGAGACGGGCCCCGCCGGCGCCGCCGCCGTTGGCGGGCTCGCTCTAGCTGCAGCGACAGCGACGAGGCGGGTTTTCACAACGCCTCGACCCCAGGCGACCGCTCGAGCACCACGCAGGGGCGGTTGATGCGCTTCGCGCGCGAGAACCAAGGCAGGCTGGCCGAGAAGCTACTGTGGAAAATGGCCAGCAGGGTTACTCCTGGGGGAGAGGCGGACTCCGACTCCGAGAACCAGACAGGAGCCGCACCGGCGGTCGCTTCGGCGTACCACTTGAGGGTGCTGTCCACGCAGCAGCCGCCCCTCTCGAAGCGCAACGCGAACGAGATGCGGCTCATGTGCAAAATGCTCGACCTGCTCAGCCGCAACAAGGTCAAGAGAGCCATGGACTTCGCAGCCCAGCACTTGAAAGCCATCGAGCAGTCGGTGGCAGACGGGGGCTGGACCAGAGCCCGCTTCCTCGAATTGTTCGAGGAGGATGCGCCGTCCCTCGTCGGCAGGGGGGAGAAGTACATGATGCGGTCGGAGGTCCGAGCCGAGCAGGCACTCGCTCTCCGGAGCGGCTCGGGCCCGAAAGGGGCACCAAAGGGCGCCCGCTCGGACGAAGCTGGCGCAGCGGTCAACGGGGCGACGGAGAGCCGCGGCAAGGGCGAGGCCTTCAGCGGGAAGGGCTTCAGCTTCGGCGCGGCCTCGAAGAGCAAAGCGAAGGGGAAAGACAAGGCGGGGAAGTGGTGGTGAAAGACGACCGCCGCTACCCGTGCCCACCCGCCCTGGATGTCGATTCCAGGAGTGTGGGAAAGCGCACTTTGCGCGGGCAGGCCCGACCTCCTGGTTGCAAACGCAGCCAGCCCGCCCTGGATGTCGATTCTGGGAGCGGGGGGAAGCGCATTTTGCGCGGGCAGGCCCAACCTCCTGCCGGCGAACGCAGCCCGCCTCCCCTGGATGTCGATTCCGGGGGAGCGGGAAAGCTTGTTCCCGGCGCGCAGTTTCACCCTACTTGCCTACAGAGCGGTGCAAAAGCATCTGCCTCTTCAATTGCTGTAACGGATTCCTCGGCGCACGATCTCTTCGCACCTCTTCCTTCTCCTCCTCTTCCCCTTCACTTTTGTGCAAAAGAAAGCGGTGGGGCGCAAGTGGCCCCGCTACCAATACCCGCGTGGCAAGCTATAGCGGGCGAAGAGCTAGAGGAGCTAGTCCACGAAAACGAGCTGTGGGCATTCTTTGAAGACGCGCTGACTCACCTGGACACGCCGTTAGGGCGGTATGCCTCGCTCGACCCTCCTTCGGGCACCCAGCCCGCCAGCGACTTGCTACCAATGCCGGCAGCAGCGGCGCGCGAGCACGCGCGGTCGTTGTCTGAGGCAGCGGGGCACGACGGTGCTCGCGCATCCCACTGCCAGGCGGCAGTGTGGTGCATGACGGTAACCCTCAACTTCTTCGCGCAAGCAGCATGGGCGGGAGACGCGAAAGGCTCCCCTTCGCCAGGGCCGCGACCAGGCCTCACAACCACGCAACAGCACGCCGCGGGCCATCTTTGGGAAGCGGCAGCCGAGCTCCTGGCGGAAGGCGGCCCCGCGCCGTCCGCTCGCCAGATCAGGGCGGACCTAGCCACTCGCCAAACGGATTACATGGGTGAGCCCGTTTCCGTGCGCAGGCAACTGGTCGCAAGCAAGGTGCTGCCGGCTTGGCCGCGCGCGGGCGAAGCGGCAGCAGTGCCCGTCACTAGGTTCTTGGACGGGGAGCTTCTTGACGATGTCCTTAACCCAAGCTCCTGCCTCCTCCCCCCAGACGAATGGCCCCTCGACCCGCCGTGTTCGAGAGTGCACGCCTCGGACCGAGAATGGTGCAAAATCGTGAAAGAGGGCGCTGCCAGAGGCATTTTCGCCGAGGTCCCAGAAGACAAGATTTTCCGCGACCCTTCAGGCCGGCTGGTCGTCAACGGGGCAATGGGCATCGACAAGCCCCCCAAATCTTCCGAAGAAGGGGAAACGCTGTTGCGCTTCATCTCCATCTTCACACCGATCAACGCGTATTTACGCAAGCTCCGTGGAGATGACCACACTCTCCCGGTAGCGGCGCTACTCAGCGCTTGCATTTTGGAAGATGGGGAGGAGTTCTGGGACGACGCTGAAGACCAAAAGGGCTGCTTCAACATCTTCCGGCTCCCGGAAGAGTGGCTGGGGTATTGCGCGTACTCCAAGCAGGTCCCAGCGTCAGCGTTCGGTGGGGATCCGAACAGGCTAGCTTGGGTTGCTATGCGTTGCGTTGCGATGGGGTCAAAAATCGCTGTATCGATCATGCAGCGGGTCATGCGGGTCCTGGTGTTCGAAGAATCTACCGTCGACGCGGCCACGGAGCTCAGGCGAGACGCGCCGGTGCCCGAGGATAGCGTGAGCGTCGTTTGTCTCGACGGGTTCGACTTCGTGCGGAAAGCCCAAACGCGGCTCCAGCACCTCCAGGCGCCAGAATCGGAAGAACACATCGCCTTCGTTGGCACGTGTGCCCGATATGGCATCCCCCTCAACCCTGCGAAGTCTTTGGTGGCGAAGCTCAATGCGGGCATCCTCGGCGGTCTTCTGCGGGGGGACAAGGGCTGGCTGGCGGTGGCGCCGGACAAGGCCCGAGCACTAGCATTCAAAGGCGCGGTCCTGGCCACGGAAAGCTCCTGGAGCGCTGGCGCGCTCCAGCATTGGGCCGGGCAGGCTTGTTTTGCCGCCGGCTTCCGCAGGCCTCTCTTCGCGGTGCTCGAACAAGTCTTCCCGACCATGCAGTTGGCAGCAAGTGGGCCTATTCAGGCCAGCGCAGCAACCATGGACGAAATCATTGCCTTCACATTATTGCTGCCTCTAGCATACACAAACTTGCGGGCGCAAGTGAAAAGAGCAATCTCGTGCACGGATGCGTCGGAACACGGGGGAGGGGCGGCCGAAGCTACCACCTTCGTCCGCACTCAGGACCCGCAGCGCGCCGCGCGCTTCGAAGCGCACTTTGCGAGGCTGGCGGGAGACTCCTCCAGGGCGACCGGAAAGTCCGCGGGCTGCGTCGTGTGCGGCACCTCCCTGCCAGAAAACGCTTGGGCCGGCAATTTTGCGCGCTGTCCGGCAGCGTGCGGCGTGGTCATGTGTTCGGTGGACTGCGTGCTCACGCACCGCCGGGTAAGTTGCGACTTAGCGGGGGAGAGGCTATTCAGCTTCTTCGAGGGCCACTCCGGCCCCGATGCCCTGCTTACGTGGGCCGTAGCCTGCTCAGGCGTGGAGATTTGTCTCCCCCTCGACCCCACCAGGGTCCCCTACTCGGAGGTGCTCCGAGAATCGGGGCGCAAACACATCCACTTGGAAGCGGATGACGAGGCCACAGCTTGGGAGCATTGGAATGCATCCCCGGAGTGGCAGGCGCACTCGCGCTCCCTTTCGGCGCCCGGGGGAAAGCCCGCCAAAATCGGCAGCCTTGCATTCGCAAGGTTGCAGTGGAGGCTCGCCAACTGGGGGTTTGCAGTCGTGCAAGCCCCCGCGCATGACCCTCTGTGGTACACCCCGGAAGCTCTCGCGGTGAGCCGCCGCGCAGGGGTGCACGAAACAGCCGTCGTCCTTGACTACGGGGGCGCCGGCGGCCAGCAGGAAGTTTGGTTCCTGCACAACTGCCGGGCACTGTGCACGGTGCTTCCAGGCGCGCCAGGCCAGGCTACTTCAAGAGAGGCTTTCCGAACGGCATACGCCGGAGCCGTCGCCCAGGCCTTGAAAGACCTAGGGGCCGGCACGCTGCCGCTGCAGCCCACCAGTAGACCAGAATGGATCCGCGACCAATTGGCGCAGGAGCGCCGCAAGGCCTACAGCGAAGGCGCGGACAATCTAGCCCGAGAGGTGGGGGCGATCTTGCGACAGATGGTCCCAGGACAAGAGGAGAAACATTTACGTTCCCTCCTGTCGTGGTCAGACCCGAAGGGCAGCCACGTCTGGCTCGCCACAGGGGAAGTCGCCAACGTGTTTCAAACGGTCCCGTACCCAGCTTTCTCGTGGAAGTGGCAGACCACTATGTCGTACCCATGGAAAGCACACCAGCATATTAACGTGTTAGAACTTATATCGTATCTTAATTATGTCCGAAAAAAGTCTTGTTCTCATTGTTTTCATTCGCTACGATTCATCAATGTCTTTGACAGTCAGGTCGCAACGGCCGTCGTCGCCAAGGGCCGGAGTTCCAGTCAACGACTCTACCGGCCGCGTCGCAGGCTTATGGCTTTTGAACTAGCGATGGATGTCTACTCCATAGGTGTCTGGACCATCTCCTCCTGGCAGTTCGCGGATGCCGCGAGCCGCCTGCGTGGCCCAAATGGTGAACCGTAGCGTAAAGAAGAGGCGGGGCAGGTCGCCCCGCAGGCACCTCAAGGAGATAGGCATCACAGAGAGAACAAGACAACGTTACCAGGAAGCGGTTTCTTCATTTTTTCTGTATCTACGGACATATGCGATACCCATCCCGGCGTCTCTCACAGAGCTGGACGACAGCCTCGCTGAGTTCGTCAATCACTTATGGATGGGAGGTGATTCTCACGGATATGCTGCGAACACCATTTGTGGAATCGCTAGGTTGTATCCTAAGGCGCGGAAGGCAATCCCTACAGCCCGGCAGTATTTGCACAATTGGGGCACGGTGTTGGAAAGAAAGCGTGCTTTCCCCCTCGACCGGGGGCTCCTTCGAGCGATGGTCGGGGCCGCTATGGCGTACCACAGAGTCGATCTGGCGGCGCTTCTCCTCGCGGGTTTTCTGGGCCTCCTGAGAACCAGCGAGGTGGTGGGGCTGGCGCCACATCATTTGCATTTCAGCCCAGACGGGCGCAAAGTACTCATCATGCTGCACGACACCAAAACAACGAAAAGAAAGAAAGGCGTCGAACACGTCCTCATCGAAGACAGCATCGCCGTAGCGGCGTTGCGCGCGGCGGCGGCTACTCGCCAGCCAGCCCAACCACTGTATACAAAGCCAGCCCGCCATTTCACAAGCGAATACAAATGGTTGTGCGGGTTGTTCGAGGTTGAGGGCGATACTGTCACCCCGTACGGCTTACGGCGTGGAGGCGCGACGTGGCTATGGCTACTGTCCGGGTCCCTGGACAGGGTCATGGTGGTGGGCGGCTGGCAGCACGCCAACACAGCCCGCATTTACATCGAAACTGCGGCAGCAGAGCTTGGTAGCTGGAAGCACAGCGACCGCGCCGAATCGCTCATCCACCAGGCCGGAGCAGCAGGAAGAAGAGCATTGCTGGGCGCTTGACCAGGGGGAGTGGCTTGAGGCGCACTGGAAGTGTCGGTGGGGCAGGTGGTTCGGGGGCGGGCGTGCACCCATGTGATTGGGTGCGGCACGTCTGAAGCCATTCGGCTTCGCCCTCGGTCGCAGCAGCGGCCTCAGCACCCCCCTTCCGCAGGCGTGTGATCGCCAGAGCCCCCCTGTATCGCCACCTTAGCCGCGACGGTGGCGACAAGCACTCCCAGGGTCGAGCGAGCGAGGAAAATGTGTGAAACACACAGGGCGATGCGGAGTGGTCGTCCCGATTGTTCACACGTTGACTCGAGAGCGCACTGGGATGCCGCACTGTAGCATCAGAAGGGGCAGGAAGTGAGGGGGAGCGCATTGGAAGCATGAGTAGGTTAGCTCCCAGTCAAGGGGGGGAAATTCGTTACTTTTCTCCCTCTGCTTCCTCCCCCTCCCCCTCTTCCTGCACTTTGCTCACACCCTTCTCTCGCGCCATAGCCGTTTTGGGGCACCCGCCACCGCCCCATCTGACCTCCAGCGTATAGGTCACGCCAGTGGATGCACGAATAGATTTCAATACCCCTCAGGCGCTAGCACTGTTTGGGGCATTTCAGGGTGGCGCATAGATTCGCTTGCCGGCGCGGGCCGTTTGCTCGCGCAACGAAGCGCGAATGCCGGAGGGGATGTACAGAAGAAGGCGGTTCGGGGGCGGGCGTGCACCCATGTGATTGGGTGCGGCACGTCTTAAGCCATTCGGCTTCGCCCTCGGTCGCAGCAGCGGCCTCAGCACCCCCCTTCCGCAGGCGTGTGTCGCCAGAGCCCCCCTGTATCGCCACCTTAGCCGCGACGGTGGCGACAAGCACTCCCAGGGTCGAGCGAGCGAGGAAAATGTGTGATATTATTGTCCACCAGGCTGTGTTGGCGATTTGCGGACTAGGGCGACTACGCGCCCGGTGCCACGACGCGCGGCAAGATATACATGTGCTCAGCTTGCTGAGCTGACCCCGGTGTTTGCTGACGCATACGCCGCCCCCGACGGAGTCGCCCCCTTGTGATTTGCGTTTGCGTGGTGGACCTTGGGTCCGACCTGTTTTAAGGTTTTGAGATTTTTGAGGCCGTGTCCGTCTACGGAGATGGGGGGGCCCGCTGGGGCTAGGTTTCAGGTTGTTTTGAGTTGTGCTGCTCACCTAGTCTGCCCCGCCTCCATAGACCTTTACATTACATATGCGCCGTTTTGCTGGGGGCGGTTAGACGTATATCAGAACATAGGATTTCGCATTCTGTGTTGTGAAAATAATATTTCGGATTGAGCCGTGACAGTCATGGCTTTCGGATCAGCCCCCGTGGTTGCAGATTTCCAGTTTTCATGTGTGGACAGGGGCTCTTGTATGGGGCCCAGCCAGCAGACCTTTGCCAACTCGCAGCCCCCCTCCCCCTCCTCGTCGTCGTCGTCGTCATCCTCCTCGTCCTTCTCGTCCTCCTCCTCCTCCCCCCGCGCGCGGGGGAGCGGACGCGGGTGGAGGGGGGCGGAGGGACAGGAATGACGGGCGTGCCACCGGTTGGGGCGACCAGAAGGTTTTCGAAAGTTTCCGGCCGTTTATTGGCTCCCTGTGTACCCCCTCGTCGTCGGCATCGTTCTCCCTTTCCTGCTCCTCTTCCTCCTGCTCTTCTCCTTCTCTTCCTCCTCCTCCTGCTCCTCCTCCTCTCCCTCCTCCTCCTCCTCCTCCTCCTCCTCCTCCTCCTCCTCCTTGTTCCGTTTGGAGAGGAGCGAGCTCTTTGGTGGCAGGGTCTTCGCTCGGGCCGCGTGAGATCGCGCATCATCTCCCCCGGGGCGGTAATGAAGATGTTCTGCCAGGACGCGTTCTGCCGGCCTGTTTTCGCCAGCATTGCGAGAGGACCATGATTATGAATGCATGGGCAGCAAGAGGGCGCATTGTATTCATTTTCCCACGCTGCTTTAGTTTCCGGGTCTCCGGTAGGGCTTCAGAATAAGAGTTCGCGTGTTGTTGTGCGCCCGGAGGTTTCAGTTCACGTTGAATGGTTGAGCGTCTCATTAGAGGTTGGAAAAAGAGGAATGTGGCCAGGGTCGGGACAGGAGGAGGAGGAGGAGGAGGAGGAGGAGGAGGAGGAGGAGGAGGAGGAGGAGGAGTAGGAGAAGGAGGAGGAGGGATCTGCGCACCAGCGCTGAACGGACGGGCCATGCGGCGGGTGTTGGACCGTCAGACGGGCGGCGTGGAGACAGGTCAAGCGTGCGCTCACAGCGTGAGGCCGCCCACTCGCAGAGGCTTCAGGTCTTTCGATATGCTGCGCTGCATGTCTGCATGCCCAGACATCCGACGATGTGATTTTTAAAATGCGCGGCCTCAAAGGTCCAGCCCCTTCCCCGAGGCCAGTTTTCTGCCCTGGGTCCATATTTGGTGTCCCCTGGGCCCAATGACCAGCCGAGTAACCGCCATTCGAAAATCATTTCGTGGGAGATTTGAGCGTGCTTCCATCTTCTTCTACCCTTCGCATCCCGTTGGCGCCGTCCCTTGCTGCGCGATAGTTCACCCTGCTGGCGCTGCTGACGCCCGTGCTCGGAGGCAAAGTGACCCCAGTGCAGCAGGTGCTGGGTCCGCGTCGCGTCTGCATCCGTAGCAGGACTTGTAGACGTTGGCCCTCCGCAGTATGTCGGATGAGGAAAAGGTACTGGTACCACTACCCTTCCCTCGTTTTCGCCTTTTTGGGCGTCCTGGGAGGCCCTCGTCGCCATGGCTGGATTTGCCTGTCAATTCTGGTCAGAACGCACCCGGGGACAGGTCCAGGGAGTAGCGGTATTGGTATTTTTGGTTTCCCCAGTACGGCAGGTACAGCAATCCTAAGGACACGTCAAGGGGCAGGTGCAGGGGATGGACTGGAGTGATATGGGTAAGGAACGGAGTTGGTGGGGATGGGGTAGCGGGCGGGGTGGGGAGGATGGTGGGGAGGAGGAGAGGAATGATGCTGATGTTGATGCTGATGGTACTGCTGCTGCTGATGATGACTACGATGATGCTGCTGCGACGATGACTGCGATAGTGGAGGTGATGATGATGATGATGATGATGATGATGATGATGATGATGACGATGACGATGACGATGACGACTACGACACGACGCCGACGCCGACTATGATGAATGATGATGATGATGCTGATGATGATGATGATGATGATGATGATGATGATGATGTTGATGATGATGGTGATGATGATGATGATGATGATGATGATGATGGTGGTTTTGATGATGATGCTGATTCTGGTGATGGTGATGATGATGGTAATGGTGATGGTGCTGTTGCTGATGGTCATGATGACGATGCCGGTGGTGGTGGTGTTGATGTTGACGATGATGACGACGACGATGAATTGCGATGATGCTGATTCTGATTCGGGGGTGGACAGAACCCCCAACAGTGACACGTCGATTAGTGAATTGTCCGTTTTCGGTTCTCGAGAGGTTGCCGCGGCCGTTATTTTCCAGGCTTGCGGCCGCCAGGGTTGGGCCTGAGGTCGTTTTCACTAAACCACGTTTTACTACAGGGAGCTCTGTCCATCCCCGAATGATGCTGCTGCTGCTGCTGATGATGATGATGGTGGTGGTGGTGGTGGTGGTGATGATGCTGGTGTGACAAGGACGACGATGATGGCTCTACTGATGATGATGATGCTGATGATGATGGTGATGCTGATTTTGATGACGATGCTGATGCTGCTGATGATTATGGTGATTATGCTGATGTTGATGCTGATGATGATGATGATGCTGATGATTATGCTGATGATGATTATGCTGATTATGCTGATGTTGATGCTGCTGATGCTGATGATGCTGATGCTGATCATGCTGATGATGCTGATGCTGATGCTGCTGATGCTGATGATGCTGATGCTGCTGATGATGATGATGATGATGCTGATGACGATGCTGATACTGATGGTGATGCTGATGTTGAGCTGCTGCTGCTGATGATGCTTCTGATGAGGATGCTGAAGGTGGGCTCGAACGATGAGGCTGAGGAGGAATACTAATCTGGATGTGGATGGCACTTCTCATGACGTGAAAGTATCGGGATGATGCGGAGGTGGGCCCTACGTAATTCTGCACCAGGAGGGAGTGAAGACGATTGGATGATCATTATAATTAGGATGATGAGCATGAGGATGGTGACAAAAAGGAATATTATGGCGACGGGAACCTCACATGCCGTTGTTGATAGTGATGGTGGTCGAGGTGGCGACGACGATGAGGATGATGACAATGCCTTTGCCGCTGCTTATGGTGATGACGGTGATGGCTTGATGCTGATAACACCGCAGGGAGCCGGAAGGATGAATTGTGGAGGGGGGAATGTATGACGAGGTGGGGGATGAGGAGGTGGAGAAGGATCGGGGAGGAGGAGGAGGAGGAGGAGGAGGAGGAGGATGAGGAGGAGGAGGAAGAAGAGGAGGAGGAGGAGATACACAGGAGGAACGAGTGGGGTGAAGGATGAAGAGGAGGTGGAGTAGGAGGAGGAGAGAGGAAGAGAGGGATGGCAGCAGGGCGGGAGGCGTGGAAGCGAATGAAGAGGATGAAGTCTGAAGGGAGGGAGGGTGGGCGGCGCGAAGGGAGGGGGGGGGCAGAGAATGAATGGCAGCATGATGGAAGGAGCAGGATGAAGGAGTGAGGAGAGGAGAGAGGATGAGGAAGAAAGGCTTCTTGAAGCCCCCCCCCACTACCATCACGTTCTCGCGGCACGGGGAGAGCTCTGGACCACAATGTCCCCTGTGGCTCCCGCCAGTACCAGGGCTGGACGGTGGGTGAGTGGTAGACTCCCTTCCCGCAGGCCCTTGCGGGGCTCACAACGCTGAGAGCGCGCTATCTGTTGCCGCCCTCAGGACCCCAGCTGGCCTCTCGCACTCTAGGAATTTTGGGCAAGTGGCTTGAATTCGATGTATTGTTGGCTCGTTTCGGTCTCGAGGAGGAATGTTGGATGGCAGCGACTATCGAGCGCCAGGATCGATAGAGGACCACTCGTCGTATGGACAAACATTATTTCTTTCTTGTGGTGATCGTGTGTGAATGCACATGGCGCAAGCAGCCTTGGTGAATCATCAGTGACGAGGGAGGAGGGAGGACATGTGGAAGAGCGAGTATGAGAGACAGGGGATGGAGGGAGAAGGGAATGGGAGGGAGGCGGAATGCATGCGTTTGTGGACCAGATGTGCGTAGAGTCGGTCGCGTCTACGAGCAGGGCGCTGGAGGGGCCGTTGCAGAGGTGCTGAACATGCTCTCCGAGATGAAGACCAAGGGCGAGAAGATGATGGACGAGGAGCGCCGCCCACCTCTTTTTCTGCCTCCTCTTCCTCCTCCGCCTCCGCTCCTTAAGCGCCTCCGTCTCCCTCGTCTTCCTCGGTCGTCGTCGTCGTCGTCGTCGTCGTCGTCGTCGTCAACGTCGTCGTCATCGTTGTCGTCGTCGTCGTCGTCGTCGTCGTCGTCGTCGTCGTCGTCGTCGTCGTCGTCGTCGTCGTCGTCGTCCCCCTTCTCCCCCTCCTCAGTTTCTCTCCCTCCAGCCTGACTGGGGCGTATGATGCGGAGGCCATCGGCAGAGCCAGAGGATTGTCGAGAGAGCTTTTCCTCCTCTTTACAGGGGCTTCGTCGGGACGCATTCTGACGTTTTTTTTTTTTTTTTTTTTTTTTTTGTTCTTCTGGAGGCTCGTGATATTCACGTTCATTTTCGAGCGGATCCGCAATGATTCGATGGAAGACAACACTCTGACCATGACTGAGACAACACGATGACGAAGGCAACATGCCGATCTTGGTCGTGGTCCATGCCGGCCGTCGCGGATTCGCGATGATCCACGAGCCGATGCTGACCAATCTGGACGTTGACCAAGATTGACTCCGATGTTTTCGCGTTCAGTCTTGGTCCTGGTCTCCTTCCAACGATGAGTTGGGCCGCGCGTGACGCGTGTTTTGAGGTGAGACGGTCTTTATTGAGACAGGGCGGCAGTTGTTCAGATGGGCTCCCCTGGTGGCAGCGTCGTGTCCACATCACCCAAAAGCACTTGTGTAAGTGTACGTCGGCCCCTGAGGACCGACGCGCACGATCCGACATCTGAAAGCATGCGCTGCGTGGCGGGCGCTTTCTCGCCATCCTGTTCGGGGAACGACATGCGACAATATTGTTGTACTGTATGTTCGGGTCGGACGTGCGTTTCCACCACAAACGCATAGTGCCAGGATGTGCTCTGCGTCACATCGTTCTCGGAGATGTACAATGTCGGAGGCGTGCAACAAACCGGTGCTGCTGAGGAGGAAACAGCGACGCTCATCTCCCTTTCGCGGCCGCTCCTCATACCGTTCATCGTGTTTTTTGTAAGCGATTCGCTTCGCTGTGTCCCAGCGCTTGCTCCGACCGACTCGCGCGTCCGCCGAGTCCGAGGCAAAGCAAGTACTTCAGCGAGTGGTTCCATGGGTACGGCAGCAATCTGCTGACTCCGGCGAGGTGTGTGTAGTCAGAGTGCGACTGGCGGCTCCCGGGCGTCGACACTCCCCGGGAGGTCTAATTTCCTCGCGCCGCCGTCCTCCTCTGCTTTATCCTGCTCATCCCCCTCTCTCAGGAGGAGTGCGCACTGGTGGGTATTACGGGGTCTCGGTGCCGCATGTGGGGTGGTTGCGCTGCTCCCTGAGTGCGTGATCCGACCAGGACTCGTGGAAAGCAGAACGGTCCACAACCGTCTCCACCGCTCCTTCGCTTCCCGCCCCCCGTCCTTCTGCTGCTCGACTCCCGTTCCTCCGCCTCCTCTTTCTCCTCGTCCTCGGGAAAAGGGAAGGGGGTCGGCCAATTGTCGCACGCGCCTCTTCTCCGCCAGCAGGCGCGGGTCGGCGGATTCCGAGGGTGCACCACTGAAAAGCACCGCGCCCCGTTATGATGCCCAGACTGGTTTTGGACACTGGGAGTTTTGCGTTGTGCCACACGGGCGGGGGGGCCCCGCCTGGGTGCCGTGTTTCCATTTTGGGTGCCGTGTCGCCGATGATTGAAAGGTCGGCGCAGAGTCACCTCATCATGCAGCGCTTGGTCCTCCCATTCCCCCCCCCCCTCCCCGTCCTCTCCTCCTGATCCGGGCGGCTCGAGCGCGCACTTGAGTACGGTAGGTTCGTGTCGTGTCGACCGGCGGCGACCCCGCCAGCCGCGTTCAACGTTGAACGCCGCGGGCGACCCAGAATCGTTCGATGTGGAACGATTGGGACGTTCCGCAAACGGCCGATCGTTTAAGGTTGAACGACCCCCGCGGTGTCAGAAACCAAAGCCGAAGTCAATACGACGCGAACCTGTCGTACCCGCCTCCCCCGCAATCCTGATGCGTGGGTGGGATGCCCTCGCGTGTCTTCTGGCAGGCCCCCGTCCAGCTCCTCCTCCGCCTCCTGCTTCCATACCCGCGTGCCCGCCGCCCCATCCTTCCCTCTGTCCTGATCTTATTCAGGAGGAAACGAAACACACAGACACAATTAATCGTCGATTCCCCCCAAAATATGGGAAAATATGGAAGTGGGGGCGGAGACGAAAACCCAGAAAGTATGGGAAAATGTGGGGAATCTGGTTATTTGTGTGTATTTTTTTGTGCGTCCCAGGGCCCCTTCATTTATCCCCCGAGAGAGAGAGAGAGAGAGAGAGAGAGAGAGACAGAGAGACAGAGAGAGAGAGATCGGACAATCTGGGCGGAGTTCCGTCCACGGGCCGGCGGGCAAGCGCGCCGCACCCGAAAACATTTTGGCCGGTGTTGTCGGCTGAAGGGGCCCTTCTCTCACCCGTCTTGGGCGGACGGCCAGGGCATATAATCCCGCGGAAAGAAATGGAGGGGCGAGGGGGACCCTCCACGAGCGAGCATAAGGTGAGCTGTGAACAGGGAGAGAGAGAAAGAGAGAAAGAGAGAGAGAGAGAGAGAGAGAAAAAAAGAAAGAGAGAGCGAGAGCGAGAGACGCAGTGCACGTCGGAAGCGCGGGGGCAGGGAGAGCGGCGCCGACGCGGCCACCGTCCGCGGCCGAGCGCTCGGAGTCGGCCGCTTCGGCCCGAGCCCCCCCGACCCGGACCCCGAGGAGCAGAAGATATACGCGGAGTATTCCGAGTGGGCCGACGACAAGACGAAGGACGCAGCGCGTGCGCGCCGTGGCCCACTCTTGTTTGTCTCGCCCGCCCTCCAGGCAGCCTCCGCAGGAGCAGCAGCAGGAGAGGACGGGGCGACGACGGCGAGGAAGGACATCGGGTCCAGCAGAGCGGCCCGCGCTGAGGCGGCAACGCCACTCGGAACGCCGGGAGCGCAGCGCCGATCCTGAGTCGAGGCCCGCGCTGCAGCGAGAGCGCCGTTTTGAAGCACCGCAAGCTTTCCGATTGAGAAAGCACGTCACGTATGGGTTCTTGAAGTCTCGTGTAAACAGTACAGTACAGGGAGAGGGCGGACCATTTCCAGCATGTTGTTGGGAGTGAGAGAGAGAGAGAGAGAGAGAGAGAGAAACAGAGAGAGAGAGAGAGAGAGAGGATAGTCATTAGTACTCATACTGAGTAGTAGTTGAGTACATGTAGTGGAGAGAGGGGGCGGGGTGGCAAGCTAGCTTTGCTCGCGGCATACCTGACATTCTACTCCTCCCGCTCATCCCCACTGCGTTTTCTTTTCTGTATCCGCGGACGCGTGTCATAGTCGCGCCTGGAACTCCTAAACAGACTTCATCGTGTTGTGCGCGATCGGAACAGGATGCTGCGTACATAGGAGATGGAGGGGGAGAATGAGGAGGAGGTGGCGGATGAGCCGGAGGAAAGGATCATAAGGAAGGAGGATGCAAAAGACGAGGACGAACAGCAGCAGCAGCAACTGGATTGGAAGAAGCGGAAAGGTCAGGAGGACCAGGGGAAGGCGGAGGAGGGACAGGAGGGGGGCGACAACGATGAAGAACGATTCGGATCCAGAAAAGTGGCCCGCGCTGGGGCTGGAGCGCAACTGAACTGAACGACGGGAGCAAAGCGTCGATCCCAAAACGAAGCGCTGCAGCGGCAGCGCCGTTTTGAGAGACTAGAGAAGTGTTCGGATAATGAAAACCATCGGGACATCAGCTCATGAAACCCTGCGTATACAAAAAAAACGATGCGCGGAAATAGCCGGCTGCATCCGGGCCGAGTCAGGGAAGAAAGGAGGGCAGTGCTCATAGTGTGTGGTTTTGGATTGGTGGGGGGGGGCGCCACGTGGGGGCCGCTCCCCGGCAGGAGCTCGGCTACTCGATCAAGACGGAGGAGGCCCTCATCGAGAAGCTCACGGCCTTCATCGAGGAGCCCCTCCCGCTTTCCCCCTTTCCTCCGTCCCCGCTCCCCTGTCCGCCGCCCTCGGGCTCCCTGCCCCCTCCTCTCCCTCTCCGCTCCTGCCCTCCCTCCTCCCTTCTCGCTCCCTCCCCCCCTCCCTCCTGCCTCCTGCCTCCTCCCTCCTCCCTCCCCTCCCTTCTTCGTTTCCTCTTCCCTCGTCCCGTATATGATCCCTGCTTCCCTTCCCTTCTGTCTCGTCTTCCTCCTTCATCCTTATTGTGTTCCTCTTCCCACTCCTTCCCTCCATGCCCCTGTTCTTCCGATCTCCCCCGGTCCCTCTTCCCTCTATTGCCGTTCCCCCATTCTTATCCCCTCCCCTCTCTTCCTCCTCCTCCACCATTTTTTTCTCTTTTCCCTCAGCCTCCTCCTTTACTGCAGCACAGACTCGGCTACTTAGCCATACTTCGATATCTGCTGCCTCCATCAACTCTCCTGCTGCTTCTTCTCTTGTCGAGTTGACCCCCGACCGTCCGCGGCACGCTCCACTACCGCACGCCGACATGCCTTTCACCAAGGACTTTACGGGAACTTCGTGGAATGGGCAAGCGTTCAATGCCATCGGCATCACCCCAAGATGCGTCACGCCCTCCGCCTCGGAGTTCACCACGACTTCACAGTGCTGTGGGAGACCCACAGCTCGGAGGGGAAGTCCGCAGCCCTCAAGTTGCCGCGGGACGTATCAGCATTTTGGAGCGATGGCACCTCGCACCAGGCTGGCGTCGGGGTGCTGATCCGGCACTCTTTCCTCTTGAATTTCAATCCTTGTTCCGAGGAGGATTGGGTGGAAATCGTCCCTGGGAGAGTCGCTGTACTTCGCCTGCGGAGCCCCCACGGCGCTCTCGATATCGTGTCCGTCTATCTTTCCACTGGCCCATCGCAGGGTGCGCCGCAAGAGCGACCGGAGTGTTTCCGACGTATGTCTCAACATCTTCGGCCTGCAGACAAGGTGCTGACTGTTGTGGCCTGCGACTTCAATTTCGTGACGGACGCTCGAGACAGGGTGACCAAGAGCACGGGGGAGTGGTCAGGGGCTGGGGACGCTCGAAACGCAGCAGACTTCAAGCAGCTGCTCGGCGACATCTTCGAGTTCCACGAGTTGGAGCAGCCTTCCTTTCCTCACGAGTGCGCGCTCGCACGGTCGCGGCTAGGTAGGGTCTACACCAACATTTCGCGTGGCTTGTCAGCAAGGCCGGGATTGCTCTTGCACGGCGCCTGGCTGGGCCAAGGGGCTGTTTGCTCACCGGCCGGTCGCCTTTGCGCGGAGATAGGGCAGCAAAGCCTTTGCTGGAGACCGCCCGTTGCCGACGTCGCCGGTGGACGGCCCTGCTTGGGCCCGGCGCGTGAAGCTCGAGTGCCAGGATCGCCATCGGACGGAGGACTTCCCCGGCAGCGCTTTCCGGAGACCCATCTTGCCTCAGCTGGCGATTCGGACGGTGACCCTGAATACCCACCAGCACTCGCAGGGTCCGGCAGGCGAGGACAGCGGAGGACAAGCCCGGTTGGACCATGGCCTTCTTCCGTGCAGCCGAGGAGGTGCGCAGCAGGGCCACGGCGCGCTGTGTTCCAGCGTGCCCCCACCTCGCCACGCTGACAGCCCCAGGAGGCCCGGCCACGCGCACGTCGGCATCGATGGTGCGGGCACGCGAGCGCGCTGTGGAATTGGCATGCGGAGCGGTGACTGAGGAGTTAACGGCGCTTCAACAGATGTCGGGGGTGGACAGACCTCCTACCCTGACACGTCGATTAAGGAATTGGCCGTTTTCGGTTCGCGAGAGGGCGTCGCGGCCGTCATTTTTGCGGGTCCAGGTCCGTCGGTTTCGGTCCCACCGCCGAAAGGGAGGTTTGTCCACCGCCGAAGATGCCGCCCGATGGCGATATTCGTCATCGCACTCAGCGCAAGGAGCACATGTTGACCAAGCTGAAGCGGTTGCTTCCTGACGCCTCCACGTCGCTGAACGCGCTGGTGGACGTGAATGGGCGCATCGCCGACGACCCCGGAGAAATGGCGAGCATTCTGCGTGGGCATTGGGGACGGGTTTTCGCCTGGCGCCCCATCAACCGTGACCTCCTGGACGCTTGGCTTCGGGATGTCTTCCCCGCTGAGCAATCAAACTATCAGGGAACAGTATGCCTGGGGCAGATGATATCCCTGACAATTTGGAAGGTCTTCGGAAGCTTCGGCAACTGGGGAGTCGAGGTACTTCACGGCGCGATGGTGGATCTGATGCGGGACGACGCTTGCTCATCATGAAGATAAGCGTGCCTATCACCTGGATTGGCAACGTGTTGCTAATCAGAGCTTGTGCTATACAGATGCTCGTCACCGGCGCAGTGCGCATCCGGGCGAGGACCGCGAATTTAACCGTCGCGCGCTCTGCTGCCTACCGGAGAAGCCCACGGGCGTGGACACCGACAGAGGCGAGTATTTCGAGGCCTCGGCGGCTCGCCCTTTGGCGATAGTCAGCACAGACAAGTGAATTATGGCGAACGCGGCGCGGCTCCGGTGGGGGCCGATCTTCGACGCCTGGGTCAGCAGGGCTCAGCAAGGCTTCCTCGAGGGCCGCAGCATGCTCTGGCATGTCGTGGGCGTGGACTACGAGGCCACGACCGCGAGTTTGACGGCGGAGCACGGCGGCATGGTGCTCTTTGGTTTTAAGGCGGCATTTCCAAGCGAGAGCAAGGAGTACGTCCTTGGAGTGCTGTCGTTCTTGGGTGTGCTCCGTCAGTGCATGAACGTCGTGACCGCCCTATACGAGGACAACTGTTGTGGCGTATCTTGCAGAGGTAGCTTGCACGATGGATTCAACTTCGCAGCCGGGATGCGCCAAGGATGCCCGCTATCTCCGCTATTGTTTGCCATGGCTGTAGATATTCTTCTCAGGCGATTGGACAGGGGCCTTCCTGGCTGCATATTTCGAGCTTTTGCTGATGATATCGCTTGTATCTCGCGGGACTTCTTCCAATATGAGCGGCTGTTGCAGCATCTTTTCACGGAGTTCGCGGACATTTCTGGTTTGGCATTGAACTTGCCGAAAACAGTTGTGGTTCCTCTCTGGGAGTGCGAGGGCGAGCTATCCTGGGATCGTATCGGTACTGCTTCTGAATTTTGGCACTGCGCGGAACTTAAGCCACGTAGTTCTTATCTTGGATTTCAGACAGGCCCAGGCAAGGGCGACTCGTCTTGGGACAAGCCTGGCCGACAGTTCATGCACCGCTGCTACCTATGGGGGGTGCAATACCTAGGGCTGCATTTTCCGCAATGACATACACTGTGTTCGGCATGTCGGTTCGCTCCTTTGTCTTCCAGCTGGAGGCGCCGCTGGACAGCGTCCTAGCGCTGGAGGCGCAAGCCTTGCGCCTAGCGGCCGAGGGCCCCCGGCACTGGATCATGCCGCGTGACTGCTGGTATTTGAAGGGGTTGCATGGAGAAGCTAGATCCTTCACTTCGCTCCGCATTATGGCGCTCGCGGCCCAGGCGAGAGCAGCAGTATGGGAGCCCCTCGGCGGCGGCCTGGCAGGCTTGCGGTCTCGTGCGCAGGCGCTTCGGTTACTAAGGTCGCAGTCGGACTTCCTCCAGAGGAGAGCTGCTTGGGGTGGCTGGTACAAACGTTCGCATGTGTTAGTGCTCACCGCGGCTTGGGACTGTCTGGAAGCCCACGGCATTGCTCCGAGTAGCGTGATATGCATCCATCTCTGGAGGTGTTCCTCAGCCGTGGCCGGCAAGCCTTTTGCAGCGAATTCGCTGACGTTTTCAACGTGAAGTTTATGGCAAATTATTGCAGCTATTTCGCCCCGAACGAGAAATGAAGATGCGCGCGAAGCTGCAGCGCTCGCACCTCGACGGCCTCCCAGGCCGGATCGCCCGTCGATTTCTATCCAGCTTGCAGCAGCTGGCATGTCTGGTGACCCCCAGGGTCCGGGCCGCGTGTTTGAGCGCATCATGGAACAGGTGGACTACCGCACGGCGTTTTCAACAGAGGCATCGCGTTCGCAACTGCTGCGTCCTCGGGTGCGGCGGGCATGCCGAAGACAGTCTCGAACGCTCGCGTACCTTCGGATCCCTGGTTTGGGGAAGGAGTCTTTTCTGCTGGCCGCTTTATTCGCGAACCACGAGGACTTGATCTGCGCTGCGGTTTTGATCTATGCCGCCTACTGCGCCACCAACGTCTGCCGCGCGCAGGGGAGAGTCACCCCAGAGCTAGCGCGAGATGCCGTGGAGCAACATTGCCAGAACGGTGTCTGCGGACATTCGTCCAGTGCCAGCGTGATCGATTCCCGATGGGTCGGTCACACAGCGCGTCGTCGACGCTATGAGTAGATGCAGCTTGCGTGGTAAAGTTTGTGTATATCTATATATATATAGATATATGCATCATTTCCGTGCCTCCTTTTGTTCAGTGTGACAGTACATGCTAGTTCGTTAGATTATTACTGCAACGTTATGGGGCAGAGGCCCCTCGTTGACAACCGTGCCCGGTTGGAGCGCAAGCTGGGGCGCGCCCAGGTCCCCGCCGCGCGCTGCGGTGGGCTTGCGGCTCCTTGTGAGCACCGCTCTTGCTTCACTTTCTCTCCTCCTCCTCCTCCTTATCCTCCTCCTCTTCCTCCTCCTCCGTGGCCGGCGTCCAGCCGCGACCTCGTAGCTAGCAGTCCAGTTTCGCGCTTCGTATCCTCGGGCCTGCGGCCGGCGCGGGGGGAGTGGGAACTGCGTTATGATTGGCGTTGTCGGTCTCTCTTTCAGGCCACGGTTCATGCCATGAGTTTGCTTATCGCAGGTCGACTCTTGGGGTGCTCCTGGTTTGCCTGGCGAGTCTTTTGGTTGCATGGCGGCTGAGGTTGTGTGAGTAGTATACATGTCATACGCTGGAGGTGGAACAAGTTTTCACCTTGATCTGATCAAAGCCAACCGGCTACAGTAGAGGTAAAACGCGTCTCGATAGGAACTGGGTTTTAGAGGGAAAAAGCAGAGGGATGCAGGCATATCCATGAACCCTGATTACTTGGGCCGCGCATTTGTCGTTCCTCAACATGCATCATTCCGACTGTTGCTGTCCTCGGTTGATGCCGTTTTGCTGACTTCCGAACCCACCGGCGTGACATTTCATTGTCGTGATTGTGTTTCGCTAGAGCGCACCCTCACCCGTATGGTATCCCCTTCTGTTCTATTTGCCGTGTCCGGTGCAACTGTGTGCGCTGGCCGTCTTGCTTCTTTTGCCTTGCCGACGCTACCTCCTGGGCCTACTGGGCAATGGGGCCGCATCAAGCGGTCCTCTGTGATCCTACCGCCCCCGTACGATTTCACCCCCTCGTCTTGCCAGCAAACCCCGCTCCAGTCGCCCGCAGTGGCAGTGTAGGGCGTCTTCCCTACCCTGGAGACCACGAGGGAGGCACTCTAATCGTAAAAGCTTCGTGTGCCCACGCCAGTCCATCCAGCGACCAGAGCAGGTTTGCCTCCAAACCGATTCGAAGCGACTCGGTTTGCTGGCCTGGATCGCGATTCCCATTCGATTCGATCCCGTTCGATCCTCCGGCGTCGGCCGGGTCCAGCCGGTGCAGGACGCGCGGCGATTCGGTTTCGATTCGATTCTGGACGATTCGCTGGCGATCCGACCGGCCTCCGATCCGACCCGACCTCAATTTGCGATTCGATCCAGCTCAGGCGTGTCGGTCTCTCTTACGCGTTGCGCGGTCGAACGTGCAGTGGCCAGCGGTATTGCTTATTGACTGGTGCGGTCCGGTTGCGCGCGGTCTGGCCTCCCACTGCTCGAAGCGCGGTCCAGGCAGGCCCCAGCCCGCCCCCCCCTGGAGCATGGGAGCCGCGAGCCCAGGTGTTGCTGGGTTCCCAGATCCCAGTCTACTTTAAGACCCTTCCAATTCCCAGATCCCAGACTCTACTGCCAGATAAGTATTGCTGGGTTCCCAGATCCCAGTCTACTTTAAGACTTTGCTGGGTTCCCAGATCCCAGTCTTCTTTAATCGGGACCTCGCATAAGGGGGGTGCCACAGGGGGGGGGAGTTCGTTCCGTTGGCGCATCAATCCGCAGAGAAACGATGCAAAACGAGGTCTCCGGCCGCCGCTGGAACCCGAGAGGTGTCGACAATCGGGGCGCGCGGGGGGTATTTTTTTTTTTTTTTTTTCTCGGAAATTCGATGCTCCAGCGGATCAAACTCACACCCCCCCCTCAGGGTCCCCTCCCCCTTTTGGTGGACCCCGATTCAAGCGCCTTCCAATTCAAGAGTCGAAGGGTCTCCCCTCTTCCCTACTCTTCAGGGGGCGGGAGGAAGCCGAATCTGCCTTCTGCGCCTTCCTGGTGCATGTGCCTGCCCTCCTCCGAACAACCGGTGAGCCGCAAGGCCGCCCTCCCCCCCTTCCGTTGCACCTTGGGAGGACTTCGTCTGTCCTGCCAAGGGGTTCGACGCGGACTTGGCGACGTGAAGTCGACACGTATTCGGCACTGAGTCAGCGTGGATTCGACGCGGAGTCGACGAGCTCGGCAGAGGCTCGACGTGGGCTCGACGCGGGCAGCGGCGCAATGGGACACATCAGGTCCCTGGAGATGCAACATCACCCTCTCGGAGGCTCCCCTGGCCCTCCCCGCAGGGTCCAAGAGCCCCGAAGGCGGCCCGAGGGGCCCCGAAGATGGCCCAGGAAGATTCCAGAACAGTTCGGAGAGAGCCCGCGAGCATCCAAGGACGACCCTAACGCGGCAGCAAGAGGCGTCAAGAGAGCCCAACGAGTCAGGGGCAACGTCGGGGGGGGAGAGGGTCAGGGGGGAAGCGCATCGACTCCTCCTCCTCCTCCTCCTCCTCCTCCTCCTCCTCCTGAGCAATCGCCCATTCATCGCCGATAGGGGCTCGACAGCCCAACCCGCCCAAGGACGTCTGGTTTCGCCATCGGGGGCCTCGCGCCGATCTGTTGGCGGTTTGTCGCCGATTCCTGGTCGGTGTATGCCTCTGAGAAGACCCCAGGCATACATCAAGCAGGGAAGGATGGTGGAGATGAGAAGAGCGGGACGAGTGAGTCAGCAACAGGAAAGAGGAAGGAGGAAGGAAGCAAAGGAAGAGAGAAGAGGGAAGTGTCATGCTGGTTCCCACGTGGTGCGTTTTCCACTCAGCTAGGGAGGCGTCCTGGAGCCTTGGAGGACCCCTTGGGAGTCTATTGTTGGGCACCCCGCCAGCGTTCCCCCCCAGCTCATTTTTCCGAGGCGAGGCAGAACCCCCTACGGGCAAGCCTCGTTTGGGGATCTGCCGACCACCCGCGCCCAGAGGCCCGTCAGCCCCTCATACTCCTCCGATTACGCGTAGGCTATATGGGGTCTCTCCCTCTCTTTCTTCCCTGGCACTGCTTTTTCTGGCTATCTGGCGCAAGCACTTGGTACGACGCACTTTCCCCGAAAAGTTTCCCTCCTCCGTCCTCCTTGCTCCCCCGCCTTCGCGTCTCGAGCGCACGGCACCAGACGCTAGACCGCTAGGACGCGGAGAACAAGATCGCGATGTTGGCGAAGGGCATCTCCCAAGACAGCTCAGACATAGCGACGCTGGAGGATGAGAAGGCCGCTGCTCATAGGAAGGGGCAGCGGGTGGAGGATGAGAAGGGGGGGAGGAGTAGGAGGAGAAACTGTGAGGAGGACGATGATGGGGAGAATTGATGAGATGAGGCGGACGATGATGATGACAAGGAGGAGGAGGAGGAGGACGATATTGATTATGATAATGATGCTGATGATGCTGATGATGGTGCTGATGCTGCTGCTGCTGATGATGCTGATGATGATGATGATGATGATGATGATGATGATGATGATGATGATAATGGTGATGATGTTGCTGATAATGATGATGCTGTTGCTGATGCTGCTGATGATGATGATGATGATGATGATGATGATGAGGATGATGATGAGGATGAGGATGATTATTATGCTGCTGACGACGATGATGATGATGCTGATGCTGATGATGATGCTGATGATGGTGGTGATGATGATGATGGTGATCATGATGATGCTGATGGTGGTGATAAGGATGACTATGATGATGCTGATGCTGATGCTGCTGCTGATGATGATGATGCTAATTGTGCAGCTGCTGCTGCTTCTGGTGGTGGTGGTGATGATGATGATGATGATGATGAGGAGGAGGAGGAGGAGGAGGAGGAGGAGGAGGAGGAGGAGCGGGAGGATGAGGAGGGGGATAATGAGGATAATCAGGGGAAACTCGGAGGCGGGAGGGGTGATGATTGTGATGATGATCACAAGGAACAGCATGAACACGATGCCGAGTATGATGAGGATTCTGATCGGGAAGGGCGAGGGGGCGTTGCTGGACTTGGGGAGGAGGATAAGCATAAGCGTGAGCATGAGCATGGGCATGATCATGGTCTGAATGACGGTGATGGTGACGATGGCGACGACGACGATGATCATGATATGATGAGGAAGATGGTGATTATCATTATTTCTATCCGTAAGGGCTTCGCCCCCTGCCGCCGGCCCCCTCCCTATCATATTGGGATTTATCAGAGTCGCGTCGGTGCGTCTCGGCGCTGCCTTTGCGC